CTACAAAGTTCCTGGTTCCTCCCCGCATCAATCAAACCGCGTTGATATATTGCATTGCTATTCAGCATCATGTTCCTGTGCTAACCCGGTCTAGACCTGCAGGAGATACCTACCCAGCCCACAACGCCTATTCGTTCCGCCGCCATATCACTCAACCAGACCAGAATCCAGTCAACAATCCCGCTATCGACCGGGCATCCCGGCTTCCCCCTGCTTTCCTTCCTTCGGGTTCGTTTTATTTTTCTCAAGGCGGCCCCTCCGACCATTCAAACCGAAACGAAGAAAGACAAAGACACCATGTCCTTTCAGTCAACCCCGTCCGACATCCCCGTCGCAATCACCACCCCCTCTTCCGCATCCTCAGCCTCCAGCGAACCCCGCCTTCACTCGGAACGCCGCATCACCCCATCATGGACCGTCCTCCAAACCAAAGCCAAGCTCGAGACCATGACCGGCATCCCCCCCAGCAGCCAGCGTTTGCGTTTAAAAACCCCGGGCCGTCCAGATCAATGGCTTGAGGGCGATGATACCGTTATCGGCGGGTGGGGGTTGATGAGGGGGAGCGAGATCGAGGTGGGTGTTTCTTTCTTTCTTGTTTTTCTTTTCTTTCTTTCTTTTTACTGGACGAGCTAATGTCTGGTTGGGAATAGGTGCATGATACAAGGCCGCAAGCGGCGAAGATGAACCTCACGGATCTGTCCTCAGTCGAGAAATATGTCCTACCGACCGAGACGTACGAGAATCTTCCGAACTCCGTCCTTGCATGGAAGAAAAGCCAGAAGCTGGGGCGGTTTGATCCCAATGCGCGTTCGCCTGTTGAAGCGATGGGTGAACAGGCGAGGAAGGATAAGGACGAGGTTCAGAAGAGAGGTGCGTGAGGCTACACATTTCTACCAGCCTTGGACCCCCTCCCCCCGTCTTTTAAAAACAAGGTTGGTGGTGGGGTCGCCACGCTGACCATCATTTGCTATAGATATATCGGTTTGCAAGCGGGCTATCATCTTGCCATCAACGCCGCCGCATGTTCGACGGGGTACTATCCGCTTTATTGGGGCCGTGTCCACGATTCCATATCCTGGCGTTGATATGGAAAGCATTGACCCCGCGGCTCCGTTGCCCATCTGGGTCGGGATCGAGCTTGACGAACCAACGGGGAAGAATGACGGGAGCGTTGGTGGGAAGCGGTACTTCACTTGTCCGAACAAGACCGGGGTCTTTGTGAAGCCGGAGAAGGTTGAGGTGGGAGATTTCTCGCCCCTCGGTCTAGACGAGGAGCTGGATGAGGATATGGAGGAGATATAGAAGAATAGAAGATTATAAGCTGTTTCAAGTTTGCTTCTGTATGCGTCGAGCCCGGTTAAACCCGGACGCCCCGCTAACGATCTGCCCTACTTGCAAAAAGAGATACAATGCTGGAGCTTTGAGAGAGGATATGCGTCTTACACACAAAAACAGAAAACTCCACGGCCCGGGGTAACAGAGAGATATCGCTAATCTGGAAAACCAAAACGCATGACAAAGTTAAGATGTTAGGAGCGGTTCCGACCACACGCACAGCGAAGGTTTGAGATGTGAGAAATATGCCAAAAGCTAATAAACGGGGTGCGGAAAAGAGGAAAGGGCAGGAGGACGGGCGTAACTGGTCATATTCGCTTATGATGTTCTAGGCAGCGGCCTTCTGTTTCCCTTTCGGTCTACCTTTGGCAGCAGCTTTCGGACGAGCTGGTGGGGTATTCGACTCGCCATCCAGTGCATCGGTTTTCGATGCAGACCCAGGGGCATCGTCTCCGGCAGGGATACAGCCTTGCGTGAAGAATAACCGGGCATCTTTGCTGTAGGTGTTGGCAAAGCTATAGTAATTACCTGTAACTCAATCAGTCTCCTGTAGCTTGGGAAGTTAATGACCATTGTTAAATCTCACCTCGCGGAACTTGAAACACACATCCTTTTCCAGCACTGAATTGAACGCCCGATACATCCACCAGAACCCGTCCATGGACTACATAGAAGACCATATGCATCTTCTTTGAGTTCTTCGGCTTCTTAACTCCTCCAGGAGGTAGCTCGACAATTCCGGAACCGATGAAGGGGGAGCTAAGTAATTTGGCGAATCGGAAGGTTGCACCTTTAACGTTTCGTGTCTCGATACCAGAAGGCGCGTAGGCGATGTCTGTGAGTACTCGTCATTAGCGCTGCCTTACTGCAAAATACACATGTCGGATGTACCTAACACTTCCTCCTCCTCCAATGCGGTTTGAGTTTCGTGGTCCCATTTTCTGATATAGCCATGCAACACTCCACCCTTTTCCTCGTACGGGTCGCGGTACTGGTCATCCTCAGAGTCAGTCTCATCCTGTTTGGTCGTCTTCGATTTAGACTTCTTGGACCGGCGCTTCTTATTTTTCTTCTCTGGCTCTAGTTCTTCGGTTCGGATAATTTCTTTGATCGTCGAAAGAGGGAATCGTTGCCCCTCGGCAGCCTCTTCGTCACCGTAAACACATCGTTCGTTTTTCCAGTAGGCCAAAGGTCTGACGGATACACGTCCTGACCGCGTGTGTGTTGTCGATGGATCTGTGGGAACCTCGCGTTTGAGTATGTATAAGCTTCGTCCCTTGAGTGGCCCGGTCCGATTGATATGATTCTCGACCACCTTGTCCAGCTCAGGATCGCCAGAGGGCTCCGTGATTCGACGCTTCGGCTCAGAAGTTCTGGCTCTCTTGATGGGCCGCTGTTCTTCCACGTTCTCCTTGGCTTGCTTCAGAGCTTTGGGTGGCCGTCCAGGGCGCTTCCGTTTCTGTGTCATATCTTGATCGCCCTGTTTGTCGTTCGAAGTAGTATCTTTGCCGCCCTTTGTACCTCCTTTAGCCCAGGGGCCCCTTGAAGACCCTTTGCGCTTTTCCGGCTCAACCGCCTGCGATCGCTTCGCCTCCGCACTGTTTTCATCGACGTCCTCGGAATCATTCCCCAGTAGAGGGTCGTCACCGGCATTAAAACTATCTGCAAAGTCGGTCTGGTCCTGATCGAAAGAGTCTTCGTTCCCATATCCGTTCTCGTCTGCGATGGCGTCGCTATCGGATAATGAGGTGGGTGCGACCTTTTCGGGCTTCATGTTTCCCCTAGCGCGTGCGACGGTAGAATGGTCTAGTGAAGGCGTGGCGTTGATAGAGCGGCTGGTGAGCGGTGACACGTCCCGCCGTGTGTCGGTCTTTACGCTCCTGCCGTCCGATGGGCTCGATGAAGGGAGGTCGCGCTGTGGACTCTGGGAGGAGCGTAGCCCGGGAGTTCTGCGAGGAGATCCGGTCATTCCGGTTTTTGTCGGTGATCGCACAACGGGGGGTGGGAAACGAGGTGTTCGCGAGCCATTGAGGTAATCGGCAGGACCAGGACCGTTGCCTGTTGAGGTCAGCCATGGTGTTATGGCTTTCGGCGAAGCACATACCCTCGTCTATAGACATGCCGTCGGAGCCTACTGAATCGCTTCGATTAAGTCCATTTCCATTGACTGGCGACTTCTCCGGTGATGAAAAAATTCCATCGACTTCCTCCATTCCATACTCATCTCGCTTGCCTTCCTTGAGAGTGATGCCTGTGCGCCTGCCGATAGTCAGTATGCCGCGAAAGACGTCTGAACAGGCGATATTATGTTTGCATCAAGGGCAGATTATCATACATACCTTCCAGCTTTGCCGACATTGGAATAATCGAAGTCGCGAGCTTTTGACGGCCCTCTGGGAGCCATGATTTTGATGTTGTAGAATAATGCAGGTGAGGTCAGGGGCCAGTATGCGCAGGAAAATAGATACACCTTATAGACAGAATATGTTCAAGCCGCAGCAGAGAATGTACACAGCAGGTGATTGAACGAATGGCTGTCTTCGAGGGCGTGGAGGGGAATTCGAGCTCGACAGAAAAGTCCCGAGATGCTTGAGGGGAGAGATTCACCGACGCGCGGAGCGCCGCTAGTCCAAAACGGTTGGAGACGCGTTCCACACTGGAGAAGTATACACTGGCAACCTCATCCTGCACTTGTCCACATATTCAGTATCCTTTCATTGATTCTCCTCTCAAGAAATCAAATGATCTATCACTGCCTCACATTAGTGGTGTTGGAGAGTTCTTTCTTTACGCTTGTGTCATATCCGCCGAGATTACAATTATGAGTATCCGATCCTGGATGTATTGCTACTGTCCACGGTTTGGAATGAACTCATGATTCGAATGGAGCCATTGCGACCGTCAAATCTCAAAGCACTTTTACTGATTGCTGATGAGCCTGCAGATTAGGTGCGAATGAAGAGCTTCGGCGATGGCTAGACAGGCGGTACTGATATCAGAGCTATTCTGAGTATGGACGTGGAGTATTCCGATATTGTTCGGCTCTAGTTGACCACTGAATACGACGCTTTTCTTTTCTTTCTTTCTTTATTTCTTTCTTTAGGGCTTGGGCTTTGACAGACATCCTGGCAGACATCAACCTAGCTCCATTCTTTTCCTCGCTAATGACATCTGGGAGCGTAATACCACCTCGGCTGCTTTCTGCGTGGCGGATTACATTAACTATAAAAAAGATGCAGTGTTGGATAATGGTCTGCTTTGGTGGCATTGGTTGCGGTTGGAGGAATCCGAGGCAAACTAGTTAAATAGAGAGGAAGAAAAGAAATGGATAGCCTTTGGGAAACAGTTTTTGTGTTGGCTTAGTTATTATTGATAGGGACGCTTTGCAAGGAAAGGGGCCGGGAGGTTAGATGTTCGATAGGTGTGCTGTAGGCTGTGATGTACAGGGTAACTACATTGTATAAATATACTTGATATATATATCCCCAGAGAACAGAACCAGGGAGAGATCAAACATTAGCACTGTTTATTGATATAATAATGCTAAGGTATAAGTTGAATCCGATTAACCTCTCGGCTTAATTCAGGGTGCGGAATAGTGACATATGTCTTATCACATAAGTTGACTGTTCTAGTCAAAAAGCAGACCAAACAGCCCTCATAAAGGGTCGATAGCTCAGTTGGTAGAGCAAGCGGCTGCAGTTCAATGTATCCGCTAGGTCCTGCGTTCGAATCGCGGTCGGCCCTTATTTTTATGAAATTTTACATAATTCTTCATTATTTTTACCTCGAATATTTCATTCACACTTTCTCCCCTTCTTCCTCCCCTCTCTTCTTTTCTGTTATTATACCCTTCCCGTGATGTTTGTAAATGTCCATATAAATACATGTCCTGCTGGGCTCAGAGGCGGAGGGCGCTGCCGACGCAAAGTAGGGTTAGTTGTGCCGACTTTTTAATGGGGTACGCGCTCCGTGCTGAGACGCGTCCCCTAGTCCTGGACAACTTATTGTAAGGCAAAGCAGTCGGCTTCAAATTGCCTCTTCAACTCTACACCAATCTCCGTTATTACTATGGAAGACCCAAGGAATAATAGCTCGGCTCCCGATCCAGAACCCGCCGACCCATCTACCTTCCTACCACCTAGTATAGACAAACCCCGACTACTCTCCGGAGAATCCTATGCATACTTCTCACCATGCCCACCGGGCATCTCAACAAGGCAAGAAACGCCAGATGCCGACTCGGACTACCTCATTCTCGGCATCGATGAAGCCGGCCGAGGCCCCGTCCTCGGGCCAATGGTTTATAGCGCCTTCTACCTCCCCAGCAAGCTTCACCACTCCCTTCTCTCTAAAGAGTACAGTTTCGACGACAGCAAAGTCCTCACGACGGGGGTCCGTGCAAATCTTATGCGTATCCTCTGTACAAAGGGCTCGCAGCTCTACAACTCGTGCGGATGGGCTGTTAAGCTTCTCTCCCCCAGAGATATCTCATCAGGCATGATGCGGCCGGCTGGTGGTGTGGGCGGAGTATATAACCTCAATGCGCAGGCGCTGGATGCCACTATCGAGTTGATCAGAAGTGTTGTGGAAGAGAGAAAGATGAATGTGCGGGAGGTTTATATCGACACCGTGGGAAATCCAGCGAGCTATCAGAAGAAGTTGGAGATGGTGTTTCCTTCGCTGAGGATTACAGTTGCGAAGAAGGCAGATTCGCTGTATCCTTGTGTGAGTGCAGCGAGTGTTGCTGCTAAGGTTACGAGGGACGTTGCGCTTGAGGTTTGCTACGAGTCTCTAAGGGCTATCGGCGAAGCAGACGGAGAGGCAGCGGGGGAGAGTTGGGGGAGTGGGTATCCCTCCGACTCGAAGTGTGTGAGTTGGTTGCGTGATAATATGAATCCTATATTCGGGTGGGGAAATGAATGTCGATTCAGCTGGGGCACCGCCAAAGAGATGCTCGAGCTCAAGGGCGGGCAGAAGGTTGACTGGCCCGCGGACGATGATAACAATAACACGCAGCTCTTTGACTTCCTGTTGTCATCTGGTGGAAAGTTCAATGGACCTGACCAGGAGCTCCAAGAGTGGTTTGGGAAGAAGACCGCCGAGGTTCTATAAAATTTACCTAGGATTAGATGTTTCGAATAAATACAGTATGATACCCCGTCATCTCCCACAACTCTATCGTTATAAAGCGGACATAATGCAAACAAATAATTAAATTCACCGGGTATCTGTCAGATTATTAATATTGATATTCCAAGATTCCCAGCCTAACGGTCAACAACCGCGCTGGCGTGGGTTGCCATTCAGAGAGTCGCAGTCGAGAAGTAGTAGTTATCCCATAGATATTCGTAGTCTTCGATTATGCTGCCCACCAAGTCGAGGAGAGGCTTGTTCTTCATCTTTGAAGTCAGCCCTTTCAATGTAGACCTAACTCAGGTTAGCACGAATTCTCCCAGGAAGGCAGCGCGTTGACACACTTTGTAATGTTCTCATAGAAAGCGCCCCGCATCAGCCACCAACCCATCGACCAACCCCGTTTTTTCAGCTCCTCTCGCTCGAGGCCGGTCAGGCCGCGGAGGCCGCCAGCGACCCTGTCTCGGAAGTCGGCCTTGGCCAGTTGCCTGCAACCATACTCCATGCCAAAGCCGATCAGCCAAGGTCTCCAGCTTCGCTTGTCGCCACTCCACCTCTGTAAAGCAAGTGCATAGATAACTGGCCGAAGGATATGCAACACCTCGGCCAATTGACCCTGACCGGTAACTCGGTGTAGGAGCGCCTTTGGAGGTTTAATATCATCCGCCGTCAAGACCTTCGAAATGAGATAGTTCGATACGTCATTCACATCAGGCAGAGAGGGAAGCGAGAGACCCGTGCGAGGCATGGTCCAGCTGATATCGGAGGAGCGTTCACTGGCGGGAGACTGCATCCCATTCCAGTCACTCTCTTCATCTTGTTCCAAAGATCTCGGATCCACTTCTCGCTCTGGTAGCGGCGGACTGACCAGCGGCCGCGAGTTTGTGAGGCGAAGGAGGAATAGGCGGCAGATCGCCTTAACTATTTCGATAAAAACAACGACGCGCCAGCGCACCTTCTCACCGCGGCGGCGCGCAATCATCTCCCATAGTAGCTCCGTGTACTGGACCGTTTGAAGAGTGAGCGCAACTTTGTGATACAAGGAAGATTGCGACGTCCAATACTTGGTGTACCGGGTGTGCGGGGTGGGTGTCGGTCGACGAACGGTTGGAGGAAGGTTAGAAATGACTCGAGAGATTAGAGAATCATGATATAGTGACAGTAACTGTACGCCTGAGTGAACTGCATCCGTCCGATTAGATATTGCCACGTGAAGGCCGGGGACAACGTCAACATACCGCACTCTGAAGGGATTTCTGATTCGCGGTACCGTCCTGCCACGAGATAAACATCGGTGAGACCATACACATATACCGGCATTTAGGGATGGCCAACCTGGAATAATATAGGTCAGGGACCTCAATGCGGACTCGACCTGCCCTATTGAACTTGCGTTCTTCGTCACGAAGTCCTCGTACAAAGGCAGCCATTTAGACGGCCGCAGGAGCACTGCAGGGACTGGATTTCTAGTCTTCCGAGCGGCTTCCATGCCGAAGTGACCCGTTTACTATGTAGGACAAGAGAGGAGTTGGAAAGTACGGCCTAATCGCACTTCGTCGAATGGTTGAAACTAGGAAGAGCAGGGTTATGAGATCCGCGGGCTGGAGATGGAGGTGGTGTCAGCACGTGCCCGGGTCCGCGTATGCCAAGGAAGAATGGCGTGCCGAGGTACGGAATTGGAGCTTATCTTCCTGCAACGAGTAACTACTCCGTACCGAAATTATAGAAGTCTAGCTTCGGCCTGCTTTGTAGGTATTGCAGGAATAGACTAGTTACCTAAGGATAGTGGATTGGCTATTCTTGAATTTGTACAATTACCCCATTTGGGGAGGCCGAATGGGAGGCACTGCCCCAAGTCCGGGTCGCATTCAATATAGATATGCCTTGGTTGTAGGACCTCATCATATATTCGATATATATCGTCCTATGTATGAGAAATCCAATCCCATTTTATGTGCACAGATAGCTAGCTAGTCAATGCTACTCGGCAGGCAGTTGTAAAGACCATTCATCTGCAAATATCCACCGCCCACCTGGACGCATTGCTTCTCTGTACCGCTCCTCCACCTTCTCCCTCACCATCCTTTGCGCCTCTTCGCGATCCTCTTCCAACTCCTGTGTGCCGGGCATATCTGTGCGCCAGAAACCAGGAGGTGTACCGGCTCTGTGATAATGGTGCCTATGTCGCCCAAAACGATTTGAAAGGACTCTTGCCTTCGCTTGAACCAAAAGCTCCCCACGCTCCTTAGTGCAGAGGCCGTCAATGATTGACGCCTGATCATCGCCTAGATATTCCGCCAGGATTTCCTGGTCGCTCATTCTTTCTCCGGACGAGTCTGTAGGTATACCGAAACGTGCCATGGCAGCGAACTTCCCTCCGCAGCAGTCAGGGCGGGTGCAGCCACTGGCGCATTTACGCTGGTCTTTCTTTCTGATAACTTCGCTATAAGCAAAATCTAGTCCCTGGTTCAACTTTGGATTTATCTTGAAATGCTCAAGTCCAAGTCGGTGAAGGGGCCGGGCTCTGAACGGTTCATCATCTGGCGCCATCACCATTTGGCTCATGCTCTCCGGTTGATGAGCGGATTCACCTACCGCACGCCCTCGCACAACCGGTTCAAGATTAGTTCGCGAGGGGTCTGAGGTTCTCGGTGGTATTGTAGGCATATCTTCGGCTCCAGTACGCCACATCAACGAGCTACCTTTGGAAGACCGCCCCGTGCGGTTTTGAGGAGGCGTGGGAGCCCCAATAGACCCTTTGACCAGTGCGACTCGCTTTTTTGGCGAGGATTTCTCGAGCAGGTCCAATAGTCGATGTTCACTTGGTGGATATCGCAAAGTCGACCCATCTTGAGGTTTTCTATCTTTCTCCAAGAAATGAGCCCGGTTTTCAACACCATCCTCAGTGACTGACGATATTCTGCTTATGCTTCCTAGCTCTTTTGCCCATCCGTTGCTTGATATCGGACCAATTCCAACGTTCCGTGAGTTGCTACCGACAGGCCGTAGCACTCTAGACACTCTGGAAGTAGGCTGGCTTCCTGCACTCCCGTAATCTCGGCGGTGCGGGGATGACGATTCGTTGCCACCCGAAAATTCCCCATGTGCGTGAGGTTCTGGATCCTTGTAAAAGCGTATCTTCTTTGTCGGAGTGACGATAGTATCGCCGATGTCATCCAAATCTTGAGTGCCGGCCGGACCGCGGTCCGAAGAAAAAGTTCTCAAAGGACTAGAAGACAGAGATTCGCTCTTGATCATGATAGGGTGCGCGGGGCCGTTCCTCAGGCTCCTCGAGGAAACCGGCTGGTCAAAAGCAGGGCATTTTCGTTTCAATGTTTCTTCTACTGGTACGTTTTCTTCTGCTCGTGAGCTTGAAGCTGGAGTGAAAATGGGTGGCAGGTCATCCGAAGACTCTGACGGCGAAAATGCTGATTCCAAGTTTTCTATTTGCAAAATTCGTCTGCTCTTGTCGTCTGATTCAGCTCCAGTACTGATACCTATCTGATCCTGGTTCTCCTCAGGCACAAGAGCGAGTGGTATTTGAAAAGGCGCGGTTGCTTCCAGGCCACAGTGCACGGCTTGGGTCCGCGTTGTCGTCCGAGGTGCTGATC